CTAAACAACCTTGGATACATTCTTAATTTAATGGATTAACTTAGATTGAAATTTGAGCTTATGTCCTCTTGGAAGAATTTGTACCAAGTATCAACACCAGTGACTGATTTTTAACCTTTCTCTTATCGGTGCTATCCTCTAACTCTAAATTAAAACGGAAAGTGCCAAAATATATAAATTTCATCTTTCAAATGAGGGTAACAGAAATACTGAGTGGGTATTTTCAATTGATTAATGAAGTAACCTAACTAAAATATGTCTATAAATAGACAGAACCTCTTTATTCGAAATTCTGTAGAATAACAACTGACCTGCATTCCAAAGTGTAAGCCTTGGTCCAGTTAATCTTTTAGGATAGGATAATATTTCAAAAAAACAATTGAGATATTTATATAAAACATATTATATATATATATATATATTATTTATTATTTATTTATTTATTATAAGTCGTTACATACAGACAAACAAGTACTCACAACAAAGATGCAAATTTGTTTTGTTGCACATGAAACAAATTTGCATCTTTGTTGTGAGTACTTGCTTATCTGTATGTAACAACTTATAATAATATTGCACTACTCTTGGTATTGAGCCCTCATTTAAATTAATGTTATGAACGTTTGAATTTATATTCTTTTCATTCTCATTATATTTGTGTGTATATATATATATATATATGTGTGTGTGTGTCTGAATTTCTGGGATGAGAAGTTATCACTATTTACACTATTTATATTCAAACTTTTGTGCTCATCTTTGTTGTTGTTATCATGTTTTCAGCTGTTGTAATCCCCACCAAGCCTTCCTCAGGTGTAAATTGGTCCCAGATCAATATACATTGTGATGACATCAACAAAGATGAGGACAAATATAAATAATTAATATAAATATATATATATATATATATATATATATATATATATATATTTAAACGTATATATTATATACATATTTAAATATATATATATATATATATATATATGTATATATTATATATATATTTAAATATATATATATATATATATATATATATACGTATATATTATATACATATTTAAATATATATATATATATATATATATATATATATATATATATATATATAAATATATATATATATATATATATGTATATATATATATATATATATATATATATGTATATATATATGTATATAAATATATATAAAAGAAAGAACAGTATAGATATATAAATAGAATGTATATATATATATTTTAATTTATTTTATAAAATAAAATTATGTATTTTATATATATATTTTTATAAACATGTAAATATATGTGTATAAAATATACATATATGTATATAAAATAATATATATTTTAAATCAATTAATTTATAATATATATACATATATATATATATGTATATATATATATATATATATATATATATATATATATATATATGTATATATATGTATATATATATATATATATATGTATATATATATATATATATATATATGTATATATATGTATGTATATATATATATATATATATATATATATATATATATATATATATATATATATATATATATATATATATATATATATATATATATATATATATATATATATATATATATATATATATATATATATATATATATATATATATATATATATATATATATATATATATACATATATATATATATATATATATATATATATATATATATATATATACATATATATATATATATATATATATATATATATATATATATATACACACATATATATATATATATATATATATATATATATATATACACACATATATATATATATATATATATATATATATATATACACACACATATATATATATATGTACAGGTAGTAATCCATTGGTATAATCCAGGTGAGTCCTATTAACACAACATAGGATTTGAAATATGTTAAAACTGACTCACGAAAGAGCACTCAATGTTTATTTTCATTAAACAGAGCAAAATTTCTTTACAGTTGCAATTAAGACACCTTTAGTTAATGACCATTTTCCCTTATGAATTTTAATTTAAAAATTTGCAAGATTTTTCAAACTGTTTATATGAAAATAAATTTCTTTCCCCACAACTAACCAGTATTCCATTATAAATTGATACCATAAACAATTTGAAAAATCCTTCAAATTTTCAAATTAAAATTCATAGGTAAAAATGGTCATTCACTAAAAGTATCTTAATTCCAATTGTAATATATATATATATATATATATATATATATATAATTTGTGTGTGCATGTGTTTTCAATGAATGTAATCGTGTCTAAGTAGGATAGTTATAAAAAAAACATCAAAGATGTCACACATAGAGAGAAGTCATTCATTAAAAGTTATGTGACATTTTATATAACAGCTACTAGAAATGATAACCAATATTGCCACATCTGTGCAAAAGAATGTAAAATCATAGTAGTACTAAAAAGCCACATTCACACTGTCTATATTTGAGGATGGATAAACATTGCTCAATTATCATATATATATATATTTATTGTATTAGTGTGGACATCTGCCTACTGTCATATTACAGTGTAACTATGCATTTACTTGGCCTGTGCATTTGAGAGTATTAATAAAGAAATGATGCCTTCTTTAAAGCACATTTTCTTCATTAAGACTTTCCAAACCAACAAACAGGCAAGTAGACATATATTTATACAACTTATAAAAACAGAGATATCTACTCAAACATGTATATACACTAAATATAATGTTTAAGTAATTAAAAAAATGTCAGATGATAAATAAAATCCATTCACTCCTTAGAAATTTTGGTAAATATATCTGTTAAAATGTGATGCCAGAGTTATTTTCTTTTTGTGTAATTTAGACGACAGTTTATCCATCGCACACTATATTGTTTACTTGCTTTATTTTTGCCCTTTTCTTGTTCTTGTTTATTGCAAACTTTGTCAATTCTGTTTGTCGGAAGTTCTACCATTTATTTACATCTAACCATGGTCACTCACTCTACAACTATAAGGTAGATTATGCAAATACAGAGTCTGATGTAAATAAGTGTATATATATATATATATATATATATATATATATATATATATATATATATATATATATATATACACATACACATACACACACAGAAGTACAGGGTTGGTACAGATGAAATAAAATTCCAATAACCAAAAACACTATTCTTAAAAAGTGCTCAATACCGAGTAGAGCAAATAATATTTATTTAAAATTATAACATATGCATGTTATAACATCACTACACACACATACATTATATATACACACATACACATATTTCATATATATATATATATATATATATATATATATATATATACATTTTCTATCCCTAAACTAAAACACCAGACAACTCTTTCAAAGAAATTTTGGGAATTGAAGTAGAAAGGCTTCAGCCCACAGATAATTTGGAAGATTATAGATTCTGCATGTACTTCTAATAGTCTTAGAGAAAGGTGTGACTTATGTTTAGGAGAAAAAAATAGAATAATAAAATACAATAATTAAAACCAACTATTAAATCAGAGGAATGAATTAGTGTTAAAATGTCAACATAAAAACAGATTCAAATTTCCATAATATAGGTTTAACTTAATTAGTTACTATATTTCCATAATATTCACTCCCCTCTAACCCTTCAAATATTGAATGTATAACTAATTCTAATTTCTATATTCCCCATCTCTATAATCTTTTTACACTATATTAATTTAATTTATAAACTTTCCCCTACTCTAAGATCTGCCCAACTCTCTTTCCATTAATCCCTTACATTCTTTTATCTATTAATTTTAATTTTATTTTTAAACCACCTTTTTATTCCTCTTTTAATTTTAAATTAATATTTCACTCTTCATATAACCCCAAATTAATATCATAAGGTTAATATTCAGGTTTAATTTTATAAAACTTCTTCCCTTCAAGACAAATGCCTTCCACCCTCCCCTAATCACTGTCTTGTGCCTTTTGTCTGACTGAAACATTGAAATGGATAAATTCTGTATTAGTTTTTGACTGTTTTTTTTTTAGCTTTCACAATTAAATTTCTATTTCTGACACAAACTCAGTCCACACCAGAGTTGATAAGACAGACAACCAATATCATTGTCTGCCAGAATAGGCTATTCCCCATATGAGGTCATTTTGGATTTTATTGTCTATTAATTATTTGCTCTGTAATAATAAATACATTGAGCTCTTTTTGTGGATCAGTTTTAATATTTTATATTACTAGGATCCACTTGGATTATATACCAACAGATTTGTAATCTTTACTAGATATATATATATATATATATATATATATATATATATATATTCTAAAGAAGTAATGGATTTTTTATTTATTAATCCAGCAGATTTTTATCACTTTAACTGTTATTTTTAGTAGATACCTATATTTGAGTATATGCTTTACGTATTTATTAATCAGTATATTTATTTTTGTCTACTGATCTAAATATTCAAGAAATCTTATTTTAAAAAATATGTATTCTCCAGCAGAATACAAACCTGCATTGAGTATAAACTACGTTTATTTATTAAAGAGTATATTTATTTTTGTCTATTGGTCTGAATATTCAAGAAATCTTAGTAAATAAAAATATCTTCTCTCGGGCAGGATTTGAACCTGCATCCCCCTGTGCAGAGGGAAACCGTCATGAAATCCAACATGCCTTAACTGATCACAAAGAAGCTTTGCTGATGGCTTGAACAGTGCCATTAAGCAAGATTCTTCTCATCATAGATTCCCTAAAAATTATCATATCTGTTCAGTTTGATATCCAAATGAAAACAAAGTAATTTTCTAAAGAAATAATGGATATTTCATTGTTATTCAAGAGGGTAGACAAAAATAAATAAATATACTGTTTAATAAATAAATGGAGTGTCTACACAAATACAAGTATCCACTAAAAATAACTTTTAAGGTGATAAAAGTCTGTCAAATTAATAACAAAACAATTCAGATAGATAGATAGATAGATAGATAGATAGATAGATAGATAGATAGATTGTAATAATAATAGGCATACTGGGCTAAACAGTTGCTCCATCTTCCCTGAGGGATGCAGGTTCTAATCCTGCTGGAAAGCTCATATTTTCTTTAATAAGATTTCTTGAATATTCAGACTTGTAGACAAAAATAAATAAATATACTGTTTAATAAATAAACAGTGTCTAATCAAACATGAATATCCACTAAAAATAGCATTTAAGTAATATGGGCATATATATATATATATATATATATATATATATATATATATGTATGTACATACATATATATATCCACATATACACACACACACACATATACACACACACACACATATATATATATATATATATATATATATATATATATACATGCACATACAATAATAATCCATATATATATACATATATAATGATAATAATCCATTGGTATATAATCCAAGTGAATCCTAATAATATTAAATATTAAAACTGATTCACAAAGAGAGCTCGATGCACTTATTCTAACAGAGAGCATAAATTACATACAATTGGAATTTAAAATAGTTATGATCATTTCACCTTACGAATTAAGATTTACTCACAAGGATTTTCAAACTGATCAAGGTAACAAGATAAAATAAAATGAAAAGAAACCAGACCTAAAGTAAATTTTAAAATAAGGCAGAAGAAAAGAAGGGAAGGAAAATGGAAAAAGTAAAGAAATAGTGAAAAGGCAGAACAGGAAGAGGGAATATTAATAATATAATGATAATATAATGATAAATATAGACAGACTCTGATATAATGATAATCCTTACGAGTAATTGTATGTATATATATATATATATATATATATATATATATATATGAGAGAGAGAGATATGATAATCTTATCCTTTGTATATAAACTCTGTCCAATCTTTAACCTCTGACCCATGATAAATAAATACCAAAGTATTTATATCTATACCATGAGACAAGGATATGAGAATTATTATTCTGTTTCTTTTTTCTTTTTTAATAATGGAGATACAAAATAATTTTCTTCAAGTGTGCAGAAATATTTCATCATTTAATATCAGAAGAATTCATTTTGCTATCCAAATTCTAACTCTTTCTTTTGCCCTCTTGATCTTTTGAATTGTTTGAGGCTTTCTTCCACAATGGATACATCCACTTGGACTTCCATGTTAGCCATCTGCAATGCAAAACAAAAGACAATCATTAATATTCATAATAAACATGAGTATATAATAACATGGATCCCTATAACAACATGGGTTTGGCAGCTGCAGTAGGCACACGTTTCACTGCCAATGGTAAGTATTCAAGCTAGATTTTCAAAACAGGTCATCCTTTCTCATGTGGAAGGGTGGCATAACAAAAAATTTCTCCTGCATTGTGATCCCGTAACAGACAAAATGAAATATATACATAGTTCCTGTCCTGGGAAACATATGACCACCTCAAATTAATGCCCTTTTAGTCTCTTACTTCTTTTTGGCAATGTACTAGAGGCTCTAATCAACACTGAATTGGTTAAACATCTTACTTCACACAACCCCCTTTCAGATAAACAATATGGCTTCTGTTTCTCCAAGTCTCCTGCCATCACTAAATTTGTCTATCAAGCTTTAGATAAGAACAGTACAGCTTGGACTGTGATCCTAGATATCCCAAAGGCATTTGATAGGGTTTGGCATGTTGTCCTTCTCCACAAGCTCAAGGGCTACTGTTTCTTTCTTTTTTTTATTCTCTTTTTTTTTTTACAGTAAGCCGCTCAAGGTAGAGGGCTACAGGATAAGAAGCACAGTTTATGCAGACAGGCAAGAAAGATAATAGTTAACTCTAAATTTGAACTGGTTAAGATTGTCATTGGGAAAACATCCTCTTTGGAGTCAGTTCCACAGAGCAATGGTTTGTTAGAAGAAGCTGCTCAAGTGGAACTTACATCTCACCAATGGAATACAGAGGGAACAAATGTAGTTCACTACAATGTGTGTAGCATGGCGGGTCCTAGCCGTGAAGGTCAGAACTGGTGGAACTAAGGAATGTAGTTCAACTGAGAACTTTTCATGGAAGTAGTGATAGAGCAGTGTGAGAGGCCTGTGACATATCATCTGCAGCAGGACTTCATTTTAGACCTAATCTGGCTCTTGTAAAGATAAGGGGATAGCACAAGGAGTCAGGTACTTACTGGAGTGGTACAGGGAACTGACCATTTTTCCTGTGTCTTTAACGATGGATCTACTTGAGGTCTGGATTGAGTTTGAGGCCTAACAGTCACTCAAAGGCCCCGATGAAACACCCATTCATTGTGACTGGTGTTAGATTAGGGTCCAATCAGCAATGATTGAATGTAACTAGCTTGGTTTTCGAGGCGTTGAATATTTTTCTCACACTTGGCTGCTAGAGCTAAGGCAAGGGAGAGATCAACTGCCAATCTCTGATCATTCTAGAGTATATCATCTGCTTTGATATTTATGAATGATTTGAAAATATTTCTGGGTGGATCGTTAATATAAGCCAGAAAGTGTGTATGTCTGAGCAGAGACCCCTGGATTATTGTCCTTGTCAAAACTGGGCAGCTTCTGCCCAAATGTGCCAGCAATACCCTTTATGGTTTGACTTTACCCTTGTAAATGTAAATCATGTCAGCTTTGGAGTTATGTACTACTTGGCATTCGCACTGGAAGCTCCAATACGAACATTTCAGAGTGTCTGGGTGTCAATCTGAAAATAGCACAGAAGATTCCAAAAGAGTTGGATGAGTTTAATGTTGATTACAAAAGTATTTGGAGTGATCACTAGTGATGGTGATGTTATACCTCCATTCATCTTTCCACAGAGCCTCAGACAAGATCCACTTGAGGTTTGGGTTGAGTTTGAGGCTTGATATTCACACAAGCGCCCTGAGGGAACATCTATTCATTAAGACTGGTGTTAGTCCAGGGTCTGATCGGCAATGATCGACTGTAACTAGCTTGGTTTTCAAGGTATTGAATGTTTTTCTCCCACTGGGGTGTTAGATCTAAGTCAAGGGAGAGATCAACTGCCAATCTCTGATCATCTCAACAAATATTTGGCTTAATCCAATCATTCCTAACAAATGTGTTTCACATTTTCAGCTAAACTTTCATTTTTCACCATGATTACATACTGATATTCCTATTTTATAACTGATTACTATTTTTACAGGAGATGCAGGATGGCTTAACAAAGAAAAGACAATCGGACAATTTCATCTGAGGCAGTTTACGTCAAGCACAAAAGAGACATCACTATTTGAATCAGAAAGCTTTTTCTTTTATAATTTCAGGAAACATTTTAAACAGCAGTTTGCATTCAAAGAAAATTTTTTTATTGTTTGATTACATTTCTCTTGAAAAGATTTAGGGAAATCTACAGTTTTGTATTTTTGACAGGTTATAAGGACTGATGTATTAAAATAGACAGACAGATAAATAGATACATTTGAAATGACTGAGATAGATAGATAGATAGATAGATAGATAGATAGATAGATAGATAGATAGATAGATATGAAATGACTGAGGTAGATAAGAAATAACTGAGGTAGATATGAAATGAGATAGTTTGATATATATGAAATGATACAGATATATATGAAATGACAGAAATAGATAAGTATGAAATTAGATAGATATGAAGTGACTCAGATAGATAAATAGATATGAAATGACTGGGATAAATATGAATAGATAGATAGATAGATAATGTAGGAATTGATGGATAGATTGATAGATAATGAAGGAATTGATAGATAGATAATGAAGGAACTGATAGATAGATAATGAAGGAACTGATAGATAGATAGATAGATAGATAGATAGATAGATAGATAGATAGATAATGAAGAAATTGATAGATAATGAAGAAACTGATAGATAGATTGATAGATAGATAATGAAGGAACTGATAGAGTGATAGATGGCTATGAACTGACTGTGATAGATAATAAAGTTGATCAATGTCAATAGACAAAAAAATATAAAAAATCTACTTAATTGCTATCCAAAATATCCATAAAGAAATTGTTTTCATGCAACCATTGTCAACACCCAAAACAAATAGAAGAGAAAATTAATTTCAACTAATCATCCCCATTGATTTTCATTCAAGACAGAATTGTAAGCAGCATAAATTATATTAAAAATAGCAAAAAAGAAATAGTCATAAAATGAAGTTGTAAAAATTACCTGTAAGCGTTATAGACAACCCATCTATTTACATTAGGAGAAGAAGAGCCAGAATTTGCATATCTGTCATCTTTGACAAAGTGTTTGGAGTGCCTGTGAATAAGTGGTTGCATCATACCTTGTAAACGAATTATTTCATCTTGGAGACCTCTTATTTCCTCAATTCTCTGCAAAATAAACAGATTGGGATGCTTATAAAATGAAGATTTAATAGCAACAATCATTCTTTGTTCACTCAGAACAAATTATACTTACCAACATTATACTTACCAACATCCTCAGATACTTTCTTTGCAAGAAGGCATTTTTTTTCCATATCCCAAATGTTCAATTCATTTACTCATCATTTTTTCACAGATAATATTCATATTTTTAGGGATCCATACTCATATTAAGGATCATAGAATGTGCAAAAATAATTATTTATAATATATCTTTATGGTATATCATGTAAATTACCAAAAAATGCTTTGGATTCATGCAGCTATTTTCATCAGAGCCTAAAGCTGAAAAAAGACTTCTCCAAACAAGGAACTAAGATTTTGAATATATTTCATAACTTATCAATATATACTTTGCAAAGAAAAACCAGGCTTGTACGTTACATCATAATGCACCATAATGATGATCAATAACAATTGAATATTAAAAACACAACTAAAATGTAGTCTTGGTGCCCAATCATTTAAGGTCTTGGATCTTGAGAATGGATAAGCTAAAATTGATCAAAAACTTACAGACAATTCAAGCAAACACTATCTACAAATCTGTACTCACTTACATTGAAACAAGAATAAGTAAGTAAAAATTTTATATATGTGTGTGTGTTTGTGTGCGCAAAAAATATATAAAATATATATCAAAATAATAGTGTGCAAATGACTGTCAAGATGAGAAAATAAGTAATGACATGTTTTGTTCCAAGAAGGAACTTCTTCAGACAATGGTTTTATTGATAAAGTCAGTTTCCTACACCAAAAGGTAGAGAGAAAGATGGAAAATTGGTTAAGTTTTACATTAAAGCTTTCAGGAGATAAAAGTCAAAATTAAGTACTTTGGTGGTGAGAGCGTAGTGACCACTCCAGGGCACAAGTCCTGGGTGATCAGCCATGGAGACCATGTGTTGCCCTGTCTCCATTTCCGCCCCTCACACACACACACACACACACCTCTCAGCTGTACCAACAAGGAATACAGGAAATTGCATTTGAGGATAGCTTGGCTGCAGGAGTTGCTTGAAAGTTGTATTATAGTGAGAGAGAGAAATAGAAACTGAAAATCTAACTGGAATCTTTAAGAATATTTATTTATAGTAACTTTACCAGTTTCACAGTTCTATGATTTTCAAAAATTAAATTGAGATGGAGAGAAGTGTGGCTATGCCATGATATAATTAAATATATAATTAAACATGAAAACCATTTAAAAGGCATTATTTTAAGTGGGATAATGGAATCGAGTATAGCAGAGCAAGTTTAAAAAGAATTAAGTGTATACCATTCTCTTTGGAATGAAGTCAAAATAACTGATACTTTGAGAGTTCTTTTCTTCATTAGGGAGATCAAAAATATTAACCAAAGTTAAATTTAGCTTTACAATAACAAAGGCAAGTATGTTTTATGGTTTCTGTAAGGAAGAAATAAGAGTTTTTTTTTGTTTTTTTTTTTAATCAGTGGAAGAAAATTTGAGTTTCACCTTTTGAAAAAGCAAGGTAACAAGATTTTGCAGGGAAAGAGTTTGCAAAATTTTAAGACTAGAGACATTTTCCTTATATTAACATTTTAAAATGAATTGTTCATGAATTTTTAATAAATTCACTGATTATTGTAAATACCAATGAAGTCGTTAGCTGAAAATATTTGTAGTTTGGAAACTGGACTGAAAGCCAATTCTACAGAATTGAATTTTGAATCAAATCTTCGAAATACAAAACTAAATAAATAAATGAAGATAAATAAACAGAAGACAAAGAATTGTTGTAGAAAGGAAGAAAAGTAGGAAGTGATTTAGAAAAATCATTGTTTTTCACATGCAGTAGTGAAGGTGTTATATTCTACTTTATGAATTGTCATGAATTCTCTGTTATTTACCTGAATAATTTAAGTTCACAAAATATTCTAAAAGAAGAAAATGTTTCAGATTTATAAGTTTACTCATAATTGCATAAATAGGGACTGAAGTGATGATAATTGTATAAATAGGGACTGAAGTGATGATAATTGCATAAACAGGGACTGAAGTGATGATATTTTCAGCATCTTTTTTAACTAAAGACTAAATACTTCACCAAAAACCATTTTTAGTGGAAGTTGCTGCTTTTTTATATAAAAAAAAACTGGCCACTTTTACACACCTACCATATTTTTATGTATAATATGACTTGAGTATAATACCTGGGGGGTTTCTGAAGCTAAAAACAGGGAATAAATTACATCCTTGGGCATAATACAAATCTGTAGTACTTTGCTCCCTATATAAATACTTTTTTAAAAAAATTATACCATGTTATCCATTAAAATCTCAATGTTGTGGATATATGTCATTAAAGTATTTATTTTTTCACAATATTAAAGAATGAAATGAAGCAGATATTTAGCCATTGCGTGTTTCTTCTCCTAATTTCCATTTCAAAACTTATTTTCAAATTTTCTCGCAGAGGTGCTTTCTTGTAACATTAATGTTATCAAAAAGTTCTGAAAACATATACATCATATTTATTATAAAACCCAGGTTGTGTGTGTGTCTGTTCGTTTATATATTGAATCAGATTTCCTACATTTTTCAACCAATTTCAAGAAAACTTCACAGGACTACATAAAATTACCTTGCAGTGGTTCTGACAGTGCCAAAAATTGGAAAAACACAATTGTTTTTGCACAAAATCAATTTGAAAACATGATTAAGAGGCATCACTGTTGCCAGAATGAAATGGAGACAACTCATATCGAGTTATACTTATTATAAAACCCAGGTTGTGTGTGTGTGTGTGTTCATTTATATATGGGATTGGATTTCCTACATTTTTCAACCAATTTCAACAAAAATTCACATTTTTTTAGCAGGTAGTGTTTCTTATTGTCTTGTACACTTTTTTCTTTATTTTTACATTCAGAATGCTTTAAAAATTCCATTTACAAGACAATTGCTTATAATAAAATTCTATTCAATCGGTAGACTCATAACGATTAAAAACAATGTTTTTGTTTGAGTTTGGGTTTGACCAACTTGTAAAAAAAAATACCAAAAAAAAGCTAATTAAGACATGCGTGTCTGTCAACCTTAAACAATAATCTTTGTCAATTTTATTTTTCAGTCTTTATGATGGTCAGTACTTGATCTATCTCTTACTGTTACATCCCCGGGCAATGCCGGGCTCTACTGCTAGTAATATATAATACAACTGATGCTTTATTGCATTTAATTTCTACTGGAAATTTCTTGCATTAGATACAAGAAAATATGGTAATAGAATCACAAAAATATTGATGCTCAAAATTTTTTAATGAATTTTTGAGGTGACACCAACATTTTGGCAGAAGAATGAAATGGTTAAGACGGAAAGAAGAGAAACTTGCAGCTTGTATGATACACAAGTGTTCCTAGATTTGGTGAATTCAAAAGTTGAAATCCAATAAGAAAACAAGTCAGAATATTTATTTAAATTTTTCTCTTTTTCAACTTCTTTCTACATTCTCTGTTCGATGTTAAAGAATAGACATTTCTCTGACTCTGGTTTCAATCATGTTCAAGATAAAAGTGTATGACTCGCAATAAAATAAAGAATTGACAAAATTCAACAAAAGGAGAGATACAGTCAAGCAGAAAAAGAAATCTACTCTACCTCATCACTGAATTAAAAAACAAACAAAATAACGCATTAATTCAGATCATTTTTTTGTTGTAATCTTTTGTTTTCGTTTGTAAGAAGAAAAAAAAAAAGACGAGCAGGGAATTAGTCTGAGTAAACCAATATAATTAACACAAGATATTGACTAAAAAAAAAATAATATTAAACCAAAGGGAGATAACTTTAAAAAATATCTTGAGAACCCTTTGAATAAATGATGGATTTTGTTGATTTTGAGAAGTAGACAAGGTTAAATAAAACATAAATTTAGGATTATTTGTTGACGAACAGATTTTGAACAGGGGATATTATCCTGTTTTGCAACTCTAATGTTTTGTGTTTTTTGTTTAATTTTTTTGCATTTTTTTTTTATATTTTAAAATTTTCTAAAAATAAATATAAATTAAAAAGAAAATCAAATCTAGGCACCCCTTTGGTGAGGTTTCTTTTATTCCTCTTTTTCCACAATTCTGCAAATAGTCATAAAAGAAAAATTAAGGAAAACCTGGACTTTTGTAAAGATATTTAAAGGATAAAACAGAAAGTAACCAAAATGAAGATCTCCATCACAGACTTTCCTTTCTTTGTCTTATTCTTTAATATTTACAGACTTCAAAAATTGATTTTGTATTTTTCAGTAAGTATGTGTATGTATATGTATAGCTGGCTACTAAAGTGGTTATCCAATCTCTATAACAGATACTTGTGTTTATTCAACACCCACTGAGCCCACCTGTGGTTCATACTGCAACTATGCTGAGCAAACCTTAATTACAGTTTCTGGGAAAGAGCATGTTATCTAGCATGGGCAACAATTTGAACAAGACTAGCATGCTCAAGCCCTCGGCCACGATGATTTGTGACTTCATGCTAGCACAGCTATTGATGGCCCCCAAGGTTTCTGTCTACCCAATCTCACTTATAAGGCTTAGGTCAACCCGTGGTATGGTTTTCAGTTACTTTCCAAAGGTGCCACATGCTGGGATTGACCCCTCCAGACCGATAACATCAGGAAGTCTCCTTCCTGACAAATCAACCTTGGTGATATTCAAATCCAGGTCTCATGGTCAGAATGCGAACATTCTAACCACTCAGCCATGTTTTCAGTAAGTACAATTTCAATATCATGTTATCATCATATATTCAGTGTAACTTCTAATATATATTCAGAATAAAATAATATATATTCTTTCTGATAATTTCACTAGTGTGCAACTTTTCTTAATACTATTGTTCAGTGAATAAAAGCCACTCAAGGTAGAGGGTTATGAACTAATATTTTAATAATTAAAGAAATATTCCTGCAACTGAAGACTTATT